AATTTAAATTGGAATACATGGAAAATGATTGGAATTTTTTGCAAATCTTTTTATACTAGTTTATACTAGTTAATCCGAATATGATAAAGTAATATGTAAAATCAATGATAAAATGTCGATGTAAAAATTATTAAACTAGATAAGATTTCTAACATCTATGCTGATTACAATAAATTTGAATAGAGTGTTTTGTCCTTATATCAGCTTAGAAAATATACCGAAAATTTTCAAGTTATCTATAAAACATCACATTTATTAAGTAGAAAAAACAACTAAAAGAAAGATTTGTGAAAAAAAAATTTCCAAATAAATTCCCGTTTGCATTTGTTCCTTGTGTTATTATAAGCAAATCGCACTGAGAAATCAAAAATTAGGAAATTGACTATAATTGGTTGTTATTTAAAATACGCTATTAATGTACTTTTTTTTTTAGCAATTATAGTCTAAATTGCGGAAGAATTTTAAACTGAATTACTTCAATTTATCCTTCTGTAATAGTTGATAAGATTACTTTAGAAAAAATCAGCGCTGCAAATTACCTAAGGATTTTAAATTAATATTTTGGATCGATGAAATTCAATAAACCACTTTAATATGGGAAAGAATTGTTCGAGTAGATCGAGGGTTCTTTGCCAACACTTATTTAGGAAATAGCACATTATATATATTAATCTTTACAATTTCTAAATATATTTAAAATTAGTAAAAAGCATAATTTGAACCAATCTTAAAAATTTGATTATTTAAGTTAATCAAAAAATATCAAAATACAGTAATATTAATTTTTTTATGATTAAAGTTTGCAGATCAGATTTTCTTAGTGCGATTTCTTCAATGGAATAAAAACTATAACCTTGCAAATGAATCCATGCATCCATCTCGACTTATAGGCATAAGTATATAACATAAATAATGTTAATGTTAAGTTCTATATATATATACTATAAATTGTTAATGAATAATTACGCTATTTTTGCTAATCGATTTTTTGATCCATTACTAAAAGGATCGAGAATTCTAAGAATATGAATATGAGGCAGTATGTTAAGCTTCACGTAAAACGCGCAATTGTTAAGACGATATTATACATTAGTTATTATACATACAGCATGCATAGAATTTAGAAAATAATATTAAAAAAGATATATTATTATGGCTATTGTAAATACGAAAAAGTTTGTATCTATTATACATATGAATATATTGAATGCGTTTTCAAATAATGATAAGTTTGAGAAAGAAGGCCAATAGTTAATACATTTATATGAATACCGAATACATGTGTTTTATTTATTACTTGATAACAATTTTATATAAAGTGCTTAACATAGTAATTCGCATCAATAGGAAATTTTTTTTAGTGATCAGATAGATGTATTTATAGTAGAAAATCAGATAATGATCGATGCCGGTGCAACTATTACTATAAAAATTTAAAATCACAATTTGAGTGCAATATTAATACCAACATACACAGTCAACATGAACTTCTATAAAATTATATTTTATTTCTATAGAAGGACACATATATGTGTCTACTAATATGACAGAATTCAGTAATTATTGTATAAAATTCAACAGATGACTATTCGAAGGCAACCCAGGTGTTATTCTTTCCAGTTATAATTTATTATATTTAATCAGTATTTTTGACTTCATTATTTTTAGAGCAATGCCCTGAAAGCCTATTTTCAAGTGATATCATAGTATAGATCAATGCCTCAAGTGAAAATCTAATATTACTACTGCTTGATATCTACCGAGGTGAATATCGAATCTAAAACCAGTGGTTAGTAACCAAGTTTTTTCTTTTTTTTTTCTTTTAATAATAATCATTAGAACATGTCAATACATTCTATAAATTATTTTGATTTACATTATTTACATATAATAATATATAGTACTTACCCCAGTGGGTAATTGCCATTTGGATCAAAGTTTTTCCATATGATTTTTTTTATTTTATCATTTTTGTGAAAAAAACGGTCAGAACTTAATAGACCCATAATATAGCTGTGGTAATAATTTCCTTAACTGTTTTTGCTTTTCAGGTGGAACACAACACTACTAGACCTAGCTCTATTTGATGGATTTAATTTCAAAGTATCAATTTATTTCATCCAATTTTTTTTTGTATAATAATATAGGTCATTAATGCTAGCCCGGGTTTTTTACCTAATAATTTATAATATGCTATATTCATTAAATATATAAAGAAGTGTTCAAATGGTGAAAGAAAATAAAAGGTTACAATTTTCTTTTTAAAAAATCGAAAAGCATTTTATATTGATAATATTAGAATATCTCTAATTGTGATAATATTCAATTTGATTCAGCAATGTCGGGTAAGAGCTATTTTCAATTAAAACATGTTGCCATCTATCTGGCAACTTTCTGATTGAAAGTCTTAAGCTCTAACCACTAGGCTACTGAAAACCGTAATATAATTCAGATTTCTTGATACTTTGATACTCCCTATCTCAGAAATTTGATATAATTCGGATTTTGAGATGGACTTGATATATTAGATTAAATGAGATTACCACTAACAAATGCATTGACGTTAAAGGCTATATATAAAAAAATAATTTTGCAAATAAAAATTCGAATTACCATTAACCAATGTTCGAATAAAAACTCGAATTTACATTAACAGTTTAATTTTCTTGTACACTGTAAGTTCAATTTTATTTGTGTACCAAATAGATTGATTATGTTTACGTACCTTAATTATGATACATATATATTTGTATATATCGTATAATTATGTACACATTCATACTTGTTTTTTGTTGTCAATTTCTAACATTTCCGTTACTCCGGTAACCATTCCACCACCATTCCATATTGATCACGATATAGCACCGATTCGGTTGAACCAGACAAATGAAACGAATGTTCTAATACGAGTCTAGAGTATATCGATCATCGTATATGTCATTACTAAAGCATTAACAATATTTCTAAACTGTAACATAAATGATAAATATCTATACAATTGATGAGCATCACTATGATTAATTAGATAATAAGCAGACTGCAAATTAAAAATATCGCGTCACCATAAGATATATAGAATAAAACCACTATTTAGCTTACGATATATATTGATCTTCACTCTACAACCTTCTTGTTTCTTTTGTTAGTGTTTTAGTTATTATAAGTTGCAGGTAAATATATTCATACATTTATATCCTCTACCCCGAAAAGCCACGAGTTAAATAAAAAAGGCCTGGTCAAATCTTGGGCAACCATTATTTTAGAAAACAATTCCATTCCTGATACAAAACTAAATTTTCATATACAATTCGTTGAATGAAATGTAAATAGATGATTCTGAATTGTGAGCTTGTGCACAAATTTAGTTGTAGCTTTATTTTTTTTCAAAAGTATTGACAACTCAATGATCATGTCTCGGATGGTGACCCCATCTATATTAGATATATTCTTTTCTTAGGTTTTTTCTAATGGTAATAATTGCTATTTTTGGGAACGGTTATTCAAATTGAAAGCATATTTTTAACTTTCATTAGGGTAAGTTATATAAAGTAGCGCAAAAAAATCTAAAATAGTTTTTTTTTGTATATCTTGACGTTACAAGACCCTCATCAATATTTTGGCATACTTAACAATTTAAAGAAAAATTGTATGTATTTATGTGTGTGAGCGTATGTATGAACATGAATTCTCGTCGACGATTTTGAGAGCACGGATGAACCGATTTGAATGATTCAAAAATTATTTCACTTATATTGACGGAATGAAGAATTGATTGAATTTTTGGAATAACAGGTCCAATGATTTCGGACTTCGAAAAAAATGTTCAAAATAATTTAAAATTCTATTCTTCAATCTTTTTTTTTCAAAATTTTAAATTAAATTATGAAATGGAAAGATCCAGAATTTGCTTTAAGGCACGGTTTAAGGACAAAAAACTAGTTTCATTCATATTTTCAAGTGAAAATATGAAACGATTAGAACCTCTGGGGCTTCCTAATTACAAGCTTATTGAGTCTGGAACAGCTCAAAATTTTGGAGGTAGTGATGTAAAATGCATTTGCGATGATGTAATTTAAATTTAATTCTTTTTAATTTGGGATTAATATCAATTATTTCGAGCAGTTTAAAATCACGTATTCTATAGTTAGTAGTTAAATTAAAAATATTAACATATAGTTATTTGCTAAGAATATGAATAAAAAATATGAAATTTATTGTTTAAAATGGCATAGAATTATTCCAAAATGTTTTAATATTTAAATCGTGAATATATAAAACAATATGAAATAATTTGAGAAGCTTTCGTATTTCAATACACCATACGCCTAGTAATCTCGGTTAGACCACCATGCAGGAAATGCTAGTGCTAGACGGAAAATAAAAGAAAATTTGCCTTCTACTTCGGAAGCCAAAAGGTATATAAAAGTCGTACACCTCGTACAAAGTGCATAAAATACACAAACAACGGAAGCAACGTGTAAAGGGGCACTCAATAAAGCACCAGGGGTGATTTTTGAACCGGTGGATTTTTTACGAATTTATCGACTAAACAAAACATGATCTTGGCGACAGTGAGGACGAAATTCAGCCTATGCAGGGACGCGGAAGGAATCAGAGATGTTTATAAATATTGCGATTTCTATTTGATTTTACGCGATTTCAGATAAAAAGATGTTTTTGAAACCAGTGTCACAAAATATGATTAATTCGAAACGGGTAGTGATGGTTGTGGTAAACTGAAATGTGTTGTCCGGTGATGATTGAACGTAAAAAAGAATCTATGTTAAATTATTGTGATAAAACTAGTGATTTGTGTGAAAATGTAACAATATCGAAGTGTGAAAATTGTGACTTGCTTCTTGAATATTTACATACAAAAATAACGATATAAACTAATCGATTTATAAAATTTATAAAAGCATATTTGAAACAAAAATTAATTAAAATGTGAATAAATACAACACAATACATATTTTAGAATTCAGTATTAGAATTAAGTTATGTATCGGTATATAGTACAAATTTTTATTATTATTTCTGGATTTAATATTGCAAATGGGAAATATGTGGAAGGACATTTGAAAACGTTTGAGGTAAGCATTTTGAAATCAATAATTAGAACCAATTTATTATTATATTAAAATTATTTATTATATTAAAAAATTGAACTATGTTGAAAAAATAATTAATGAAGCTATAATTTAATTTTAATATCTTTATATCGTAAATAATTTAGTTTTTATATATAGAAATGGGTTTTTAATTTGTATCATAATAAATAGGGTTTTTATTGGCACTTGTAAAAATTCCATTATATTAATTAATATTAGCCTGAATTTCTACTGCACTTTTTGTAATTCAATAATATGTTGATATTTTTTAATTTAAATAATGGATATTTTTTGTTTAACCTTCATATTTATACTAAATTCATCAGCTCTCGACATAAGAAATACTATGCTATTAGAAATTAATTTATTAAGTTATTAATAATTTATTAAGTTATTAGAAATTAATTGCACAAAATTACTTCAATATCGTTATAAATATATCTATTGGCAAAGCATTTGCAAATTAATTCGTTCTCAAACATTGATCTTCCTATTCATACAATTGTCATTCGATGATTTTACAGAATTGGGCTTTCTTGGCGAGATTTTGCTTTCTATCTCATCATGGCCAATATGAATATCATATTGAATACAGTAAAAGTTTAGGTGTACCAAATTTGCTGCTCTATTATGACAGCGAAACCCAATGGCCAGCAGTGTATAAAACAAAGAAGGTAAAATGTTCAGAATATAATAATATTCCTTAATAAAAGTCGTATAATCTGAAATTTTAGTAGTGACTAGTACCTAAACTAAACGTATCAAAATGAATATCTTATAAAATTTGTAGAGACTTACTATAATTATTTTTAATATGAAGCAGAACTTTACATTTCTTTGATTTCAATTTTTTTCTAATTTTAGCCGAACCGAAATTTAGCCGAAAATTTAGGATTTCTAATAAAATATTGCTCTACAAAAAATTATTACAAAGCACCTAATATTTGTAGTAATAAGAATATAAATTGATTGTAATAAAGTAGTATATGTATAGAAAGTATAAAACATCATTTAATAAATGTGTTTTCTGTTTTAAAGTTTTTGTGAGCTAAATTATTTACCATATTTATAACACTTGATTCTTAAAATTAATTTTAGACATGTGCTCAAAAAGAAGCTGTCCTTAGCATTCAGGACAACCAAATAATACCATTAAGTACACTTTATCCTGATAGTATAAGATCAGGATGCTACATAAGAGATCCGGCAACCTCAGAAGACGATAATGGAAAACATATAAGGTATTATAAATTTAAAACTAAAGATTTTGTAAAATTATATAAGTAGGTTTAGCAATGTAATCAAGGTACTGAAGAGGGATCAATTATTAATTAAATTGGAACATTTCTAGAAACGAACTAAATCGAATAGAAATTTCTAGAAATAAACGAATTGTATACATTCATACAGATAGCGATAAAATATATTCAGAAATCAAAAATAAAATAATAACATCATATATTATAAATGCTTTGAAAATATAAAACTGCTCGTCATCTCGTTTACAAGGAAGTGATTAATTATTGGCTTTGTAATATATAGTCGTCGGAATTTCTATTTATCTAAATTAAATGTGAACATGCTTCATCGGCAATAAGTTTATTAAATCCCATTCAAAAATGAGAAAATAGTAAATAGCCATAATCCTTACGAAGTTTACTAAGATTTCATTGAATTAATTAACATTTGCCTAAATTTCTACTTCACTTTTTGTAATAAATATAAACCAATAATAAGTTAATAATTTTGAACATTATTTCATAAATATTTTCATTTTATATTTTATATACAAGCTTCATTCACACTAAGATGAATATAGAAATATAAAATATTGAAAATTTTAAATATAAGATATTGAATCATAATATATTATTCACTTAACCATTTGAAAATGCTTTTACTGTGGAGAACTAAATTTGTATTTCTTCGACATATAAAAATATATCGAATATAAATTAACATACCCTTCTTGTAATAGTGGATACTTATGTAAATTGCTTATGTTTTCATATTTGATAAATAGATTCAGTAGTTTAGTAGCTACTTTAAAGAAAAATGAAGAAATTAAAAATGCGTTATCTGACCAGTCTTGTAGCATATTTACCAAATAATACAAAATACCTCTCATCTATTATATCATAATGTTTTTAAATTATAATTGTTTCAAGTAGAAATACAACAAAAAAGCCAAAATACCCGACCACTACCGAAGATGCCACATATTTCGATCAATTTCTAAAGACTACTACTGCAGATTATACGACTACAGAAGAAAATTTTAATATCACTACTAGCGATACCAATGCAGAATCCACAACCATGGAAGAAATAACTACTATAAATTATGAAACAAAACTGGAGGAACAAACTGAAAATCTATTTGATCCTAATGTTTCACTTAAAGAGGTAATATAATAAATTGAATATTATTTGCAATTATTGTTTTTTTGTGCTGTATAAATCATTGAACATATTTGGAAAGGAGGGCTCTAAGGTAGATGCTTAACACTCAATATGATGTAATAGTAACCCTTTCGACTCGAATGCCGCCGCACTGGTGGCACAATTCATATGAATCTCGGAATTCGCGATTGGAAGGGGTTAAAATATGTGAACATCTAATAAGTGAAAATTTTGCAAGAAAGTTCTTTTATTATGAATATTCGATTTGCTTCGAATTTTATATTTGGCATGAATATAGTTTATTTTGCTTATGATGGAATTGGTTTTATTAATTTGATTACAAAAAAATTGGCGTTGCATAAATTATTAATGTAATTTTTTTATATGTTACTAATATTTTTCCAGAATTCAAGAATAAAAAGGCATTCATTGGATACTGAAGGAAAAGCTACTCTGACGGTGGTGTGTAGACAAAAAGGTAGATTCTTAAGTGCCAGAGAAAGATGGTGGTACATTGCTGTTAGCAATTGCAGGACCAACAAGGTAGTTATGATAAATTTTTTAAAAAAATATTGAATTTATACTTTACACTCTAAATAATATAATCTTGATAATAGTTATGTTTTAGCAACTTAACCAAAAACTTAGTTAAATTTTATTTATGTATATAAGTACTCTTGCAATAACGTATAGGACTACAATGTACAACTTGATCTGAGAATTTATATTAAAAAAATTAATAATAAAGAATAATATAATTAGTTAAATTAAAATTAAATTATAATTTAAATAAAATAAATATTTTTTTATAATTGAGTTTAAAATAATTTTAATTTTCAATTTGTTGCTTCCAGGGATTGGACATTCGTTATAAATTTCTGATGACCAACGGAGAACCTGGCGATTACTGGCATGAACATTTCTCTGCCGATGAAATGTGTAAGTTTATCAATATTTCTGATAGAACCTATGCAAAATCAGTGATTGATTTGTTGATTATTTCTTCTTTCTATTACAGATATATTGCCTATACTAATGTTCTACTGCATGGTGTATCTACTCATGTTTCTTGCTGTATTAATCTGTTCTGTGGAATTGCGTTCAAGGCATTTGCTCCACACCACATATAAAGTTTTTTGTACTTCTGTGGTTTTGCAAGAATTTGGAATATTAGCAAACAGTATTGCTTATGTTAAATATGCTTTATCGGGACTTGGACCACATAATACGTTGGGTACATATATACAAATATCCAATTCGGCATAAGAATATTATTCAAGTTACTACTTCATTATACCTTAATTTCAGGTAGTGTAATTATGGCATCAAGTGAAGTTGTATTTCTCACATTATTATTGCTCATGTCGAAAGGGTAATTATATTTAAATATGAAGGGTGATATATTTAGGAAAGAATTCAATTTAACATTTGTATGACTATTTTTTAGATTTACCATAACCCGAGCAAGACTGTCAGGCAAAACAATTATAAAACTAGTGGTTTTCATCAATACTTATGTGATAACGTACTTCATTTTATACGCGCAATCTGAAGTAAGTTACTATAACTCATGCTATTAAAAAAAATTTACTATGAAAAATTATTCATATTTGTTTTAGAAATTTGATCCTGGAGAGGTTTTGTACTTGTACGAATCAGTAGCTGGATTTGGACTATGTGGTCTAAGAATAGTCGCCTGGGGAATCTTTATATGCTCTGTAGCTACTACCATAAAAAAATATCCCGAAAAAGTACAAATTTTCAAAAATATAACGATTATCGTTCATAACATAATTTAATTAAATTTATTAATTTCATTGCAGGGTACTTTTTATTATCCTTTTAGCGTTTTTGGATCTTTGTGGTTCATTTCTGGGCCAGCTTTCATATTGATTGCAAATAGTCACATCGACAACTGGGTCAGAGAATCTGTTGTCTGTGGAGTCCAGTTATTTATAGCATTTGCTGGACATGCATTCTTTCTGGTAATTTTGGTTCGACAATTATTTAATTTTATCACATAATGTCATTTAAATAATTATTGGTTTTTATACATTTTACAGTTTTTAACTGTACCATCTCGAGCAAATAAAAACTTTCCATATCACATTCGAACAAGTCAAATAGGAGTGGCAGAAAATCAAGATGGAGATTTTGTTCATCATCCATACGAACCTAGCCAGCAAACTTATATAATCCCATTAACTAGGTATTGATATAATTTAAATTAAAAAAAACTAATTTTTTTAAAAAAAATTTTGCTCTCAACTAAGTGTACTAAATTACAAATTTCTATAGTTTTACTGGTCTGTAATTCAATTCTGCCGCATGACAGACCAATGTTATTGCAAGGCAACGTTATAAAGAACTTATCATACAAATTTGTTCTAAATATTGACAAAAGCTATGAGGTTGTTACGATTTTTTCAGGTTATCAGAGTCACAAATGTTAAAAAACGATGTTAGATAAGGGAGTCTTTCTGACTCAGGTTCACAACATACGCTTAGCGTTGAAGTTAATGTGTAAAACGCCTAAATGCACGGCAAATACATGTCATTTCGACAGTATTCAGTATGATTCAGTAGCATAATGTATGGAAGTTGAGCGCAACATGGCCTTGCCATAACATTTGTCTGTTATGCGGCAGAATCGGTCCCTGAGCCACAGTCTATGACCATAGTGATATAATTTCTGTAGCATTGCATAATATATGATCAGTCCATCATAAAACATTTACCAAAATATGTCATAAACTATTTATCAATTCTTTCAGAAGAACTGAAGAACTCCTAAATGGCGTGTATTCTCAGTATCTCCCTAATGGTTCAGCACACCTGAACGAGCTGCCCCCAATACCAGCTCGTAGAAAATCCCACATATCCTTCCCCTTGGAGGAACCCAGCGCGCCATCTTTAACGCACCTAGACGGAAATAATACTCAACCAACTTCTCCAAATTTCCTGCAAAACTCAACAGGCGACTTGAACGAAAACCCTGCTTCACCATCAACAAATGTTCAAACCCCAGAACAATCTAAAAGCGGACAACGTACACCGACATCTGACACCATCCTGACGCCAAATGTCGACGAGCAATTCGACAAGCTAAAGTCCAACCCCTTTGTGATTCAACCCCAGGCGGCTAGGAGGAATAAGTTGTTATTGCAGCCGTTAGATCGCAGCAAGATTACTTTGAAAAATGCGGAAATCACAAGACTCAGTTTTAGGAGGGGTGGACAATTAAAAAATGAAACCGAAGCCAATGGTGATATCAAAACGACGGTCCCGAAGCTTTCTGGGGAAGAGGAAGAAGATAGTAATGTTCCTCTGCATTTGTTTGCTTCGAAGAATTTATAGTAAATAATGAAGATTGTGTGAAACCTTTTTAGGCCTTACGACAAATAACAATACTTAACCATTTATCGATAGTTCAGAAAATTTTTGCTACTATTTAGCAATTCTTTAAACTGTTCTGAAATAATCGAAGCCAAGATGTTGCAGTAGTAAAATAGCATGCGATGCGGTAGTTATTGAGTTTATTTAAAATCTGTAAAATTGTAAACTTACATAGCACTGCTCAGCTATCTATAACAAATTTATACGAATTTTTAAATTTTAACCAATAATATTGTCCAAAATTTCTCTATTGTACTCTCAAAACATCTTAAAAATTAAATGAAAACTTTGTGATAAAAAATATTATAAAATTTATCAATAAAGTTTAATGAAATCATTTACAAAATCATTCAGAATTATAATAATTAAGTTATTAATTATTAATTAAAGATATTGCGATGAAACAAATTACTAAAATTGAATTTCGCAAAATATCACTACAACTACACGCACACACGGCCTTGTGTAGAGAGTAAGTTATATAATTTAAAATGATATTTATATTTTTACACTTTACATAAAATACACAGTATATTACATTAAGATTATAATATAGATTTACTATATATTTTGTATTTTAAAATTGTGTTTATATGCGTGAAATAAAATATATAAAATTATAAACAAAATATAGAATATTTTATTTTATAGTCATTAAAGGTTAAATACGCTTTTAACAAAACACCCTTGCAATTTTAACACATACGACATATGCGTCAAGAGATTAAAACACTGATAATTTTAAATGACCCTTAAATTCGAAAGAATCAGAAATAAATATAGGGCAAACAAATGGTTACTAAACAATATATCGAGATCAAAATGTCAATGATAGGCTACAATAACAGGTTGAGTGGGTGTTTCATATAAAAAATATGTTGCAAATGCCTAGAAATTATTAATCATATTCTATTCCTAGTATTTATCCGTTAAGGATACATATTCAAATGCCGTTTGATCTTTTGAACACTATTTCATTCTGATAAAATAGTGTATACATGAAGTAATAATTACTTAGGAACATGGATTCAATATTCTAAAATTTATTTGTGTATAGGACTTATAGAAATATAAAATCTATTTACCTAACTCTTCGAGATGCACAATTTTTTATATGGAAATTCCAATGGTATTTTTCAGTGACTAAATTTCAAATTTCTGTTGTTTTTTAAATTTATTATCTTATTGCATATTGAATTGCATGTAGTTTATTATTAAATGGGAGTAGGGATAATATCTATTTAAATATGAAACATTAATGATTGCAATATTGAAATAAAAATTATATTGTTGTCACTATTTCGATATTTACCAATTTTCAGAAATCCTTACTGTTCTAAGAGTTTCAAGAAACTTTGATTTAGGTAACTGTATAACATTGATGAAAAACTATGAATCCTAAAATTTTAAATAACTTATTACGGCATTAAAAGTAATTATTAGAGGTATTAGAAGTTCAATTTATTTCATGTAAAACATGATTTATATAGAGATATTATTCATTATTTATGTGCGTCTCACAATAGAAAAAATTATATTTCTATAGAGATTTTAAAAAATTGAAATAATTATTTCTTCCAGAGGTTCAAGAAACTTGATAATTAACAAGGTTATTATAGTATTAAAAGTAAAAATAAACGGAAGCCCGCATAGTCCCAACAAAGATTGTGAAGTGTAATATTATATTACACACACATACACTCACATATATATATATATATATATATATATATATATATATATACGTATATATTCTTCATGTACTCAATAATTCCTTTTGATCCAACAAGTGCTTCTGACAAAAAATGGATGTAATTATAAATCAATATATTGCAGGTTTCTGAATTTCTAATACATTTTATAAATTTTCTTTTTTTTTCAAAAAACTATTTTATTCATTTCTTTAGTTTTTTAATACTCGGTAATCATCAAAATATTCACCAACATTGTAATATCATTAGAAAAATGTTTTTGTCAGAAAAACTTAATGATGGAATATATTTAGTCCCGAAAGGTAATTGAACATCTGCAAAAAACATTGTTTTTTATTTATCGGGTTATTTGTTTGGAAAATAAATTAATTTGTTGAAAAATTCAGGATTCATCTATTACATGTATATACAATATACAAATGCTCTTCAAGATATTGTATAACACTAATGATAAGCAATTTTCCGATATTTATTTCTGAATGGATTTATTTTTTTTAATTGTCTACACGCATATAATTTATTTGCATAAAATAGTGTAATTAAGAAAACTTCAATTGAAATATTTTTAATCTAATTGCATATATGCTAAATTTAATAGATGTATAAGCTTTATTTAATAATTACGAAACAATACGGCGTAATTTAATATCATAATATATGTATTGTGATGTGATATTTTTATATTTTATGAAATATTAAAAATTAAAGTAAGAATCACCACAATTCAGCTTTTCGCACAGTCTTCGACTAGGACTAGGGTTTGTCGGTTTTCAAAAACCGGTTTTAAAAACCGGTTTTTAGCGAAAAATTATGGAATTCGAAAACCGGTTTTTTAGTGAAAAAAGTCGGTTTTCACTGTATAAATGGAAAATGACAAATATAGCCAAATATAAAAGATAGATGAAAGCGTTTTGACTCTTAAAATCATATCGTTTCAATAGCATTTGATATCTTATCAGTCTGCAATGGTTCCCAGAAAGGTTTTGTATATAATATATTAATTTAGATTTTCATACCAGTGTATATATTAACAATGAAATATAGTAAATAGTAAAATCAGTGTGACTTCTTCTTGAAGAAGTAACTTCCTTTACTCAAATTAAAAAGAAGAGTTTTAAACCCCAGAAGCCACAATTAAAGAACAAAAAACTTAGAATTATTATATCAGGCTTCAAAAACAATTAAGCATAATTTGGTCGCAAGTATGAGAGTATTTTCTATTTCAGGAAAAATATTTTCATTCCTATATGAGAAAATGATGCATATAACGAATAATTATTTTCAAAGTTATTTAATCAAGATAAACTATTAGTTTTTAGTTCTACTAATTAAAATTAAAATAATTTTGTTTACAATCTATAAAATTGAGCAATAAATAAATTCGGTCAATTACTGCTCTAAATTATAATTCTAGCAAAAATTTATTTTCCATATAAAACTCGAAAACCGGTTAAAACCGGTTTTTTAGTAAAATTGAAATTCGAAAACCGGTTTTCGGAAATGTCGGTTTTTGTATAAACCCTAACTAGGACCATGGACGAGAGCACGTCGTCCCTACATCTATTTATCCAACTTTTCCTGTAACAATTTCGCTCATAGTTCGAACCCGACATTATATTTAGATAGTTTTGCAAATTGAATTGCTGGTAAATAATATCGACTAAATTTCGAGTGATAACATAATTACGTCTGGTTTATAACAATGAAGCCCAAACCTATTTCCCGCGGGAAGGCCGGTGTCGAATTACGCACAGTGGCACGCGACCCTTAATAACGAGAGATTCTGTAGCAATAATCCACCCTTTAAGCTACTTTGGTTTTTTATTATTTACATTTCAGATTTTGTTTTATATCATTTAACTTTGCAAACCGAACTATTAGGTTACACAACAAGGATTAACGAAAATATACCGAGAGATCAATGCGATTGAGGAGTACTTTACGTCAATTAGGAGGCCGATTAGAAAAAAGTAACATTTTAAGATGATCGTTACCACTGAACAATAATATGAAAAAAATATTGTGAAAACTGTCTAATATTGTGGTATTGAGTGGTATGGTTAAGCCTTATTCTAAATCTTTATACATTGACCCATATAAAACCCAGAAACTCGTAATGAAGTGAGTGTTTAAAAAAAAAATAATATTCTAACATGTGTAACTATTTCAGTTTTTTATTGCTTTGTACGTAATTTGGAAGTACTTAATAATAAATATAAACTAGTGGGGTGTATTAAAAATTTACACAAAATGTGTACACATTATTATCTCTATAAAATCTCTATAAAATATCTCATAATTTGATGTACATATGTCCAATAAACATTTTGGACCGCCAAATGACATTTTATTGAGAGTCCATAACCGCTGGACCTGCCTTCCCAAAAATTTAATCAGTTCTTTATCTCATGAATTCAAGTAGGTGCAATGTTTTTTGAAATATTAAAATCGGACGCTCCGTTCTCTTAAAAACTACGTTACCGTTTTTGGCACCTTTTGCCCCGTATCTTCGGAATGGCTAGACCTGCCTTCGCCAAAAACTAATCAGCATGTTTCATTATCAATACGAATCGAATGCTTTTTGAATTATTTAAATCGGGTGATCAGTGTTCGTCGACGAAAATTTGTATCCGCACACACACACACACATCCATATACAAATTTTCATTTTCAATTTTTTGCGATTACTATAACTTACTTTTATTAAATCGGCAAAATATATTTGTATAATTATGGCAATCATATTTAATTGTTTACAAATTGTTTGCAAATTATTAACAATGATTTTACTTCTTGAGCAAAAAATGTTAAACGATTCAAGAATTTTTTCCGTAGCCACGTGATATGATATATTGAATTATTTTGCCACAAACAAATTCTAGCTCTTCTAGCAATGTTGACACATGTTATTTAGGATTCATTTAATGTCCACTTAATTCGTTTAGTGGCAAAGTGTCGCAAATTGATCTTATTATGGCAACAATCGAGCCTTGATTGCATAGATGGGCAACCAACCAGCATGTGATTCGTATGATATTTAAGGAAAACAGAATTTAACTTTTAGAAAAATATTGTCAGAGAAAAATTGAATATAGATAGAGCTGGTTTTCTTCTAAAATAGATAAAAATCGTTCAAATTAAAAAAAAGGTTGTTGATAGTTCTGCTTAGAAACACCAGACAATTCTATTTAGGTACTTTATTTCCACAAGCCGGAAGAAGTAGAGAAATATAACAAAATGTATGTAACA